AAGTTCATAAAATTCATAAAAAATACCTGTCTCTTATACACATCTAGATGTGTATAAGAGACAGGGAACATAGAAATTTGTTTTGTTCTGTTGGTAAAACACAGGCCAAAAGGCAGAAGAAACGCATACAAAGAAAGAAAGTGCGAAAATTTACCTACTATTTATAGAGCCCTAATTGCTCTAGAGAAGACACTATTTTTGAATCCAGCCTCAATGGCCTTTAATGATCGAAAATGTCGACCACTGTGCATCAATTCAATTCAAATCTGGTTTATTCAAAAATAAAATGGCATTGCAGAATAAACTGAATTGTGCCAAATTTAATATTCAGATATATAAAAAGTATTAAAAACTATAAAAACCAATTAAATTGTTTAAAATACAAACATACAAATACAAGATGAAAGCATTAAAACAAAATAAAGTAATTCAGTACAGCAAAGACATATAGCAAAACACATAGAAAGAGAGTTTAAGACAATAGAGACTTTTGCATGTTAAATATTAAAATCAATTAAAGCTATTCCAGATTAATTTTTTTTATACCAATACTCAGTAAGTTTGGCATTCAAGCGGAGAGATTTCCCTGTGCTTATATTCATATTGTGCTTAAAAAGATAAGTAAGTTTCATAAAGCATTCTTTAATACCAAATTTGGCTAATAAAAACCCACGGCATTGTTCAAGACTTTCTAGCCCAAGAGTATCTAATGCAGATACATAAGAATTAACTGTTGGCCCAAAATAATCTTGCATGTTCGTTCTTTAACGGATTCGATCTCTTTGATTTGGACTGAATTTAAAGATGTATGCCAAACCGGAGATGCATATTTGAGTACTGAGCGAACAAAAGAATATACATTGACACTGATTTTAAGGATCAGAAGTCCAAATTTGGTAAGGTGACTGCGCATCAATGCTTTAGCATAGGCTGACCTTTTAAGGTCATCTTGTAAAATAACACAATTAATTTCATTTCATTAACAGTATCTAAAACAGTATCATCAATTTAATAAAGAACCGGTTCATACGGTTCTTCTTTTCTAAAACAAAAATTCATTGTTTTACATTTTTTAGGATCAATTTCATATGGTTATTGTTAGGCCTACTACACTGAATTAATTTTAATTTGCATTGCATTGTAGTCGTCATTATTAGGGAGCTTTTAGTTTGTGCGACGACACCACGCTAGAACGGAATCACTCATGCGTGACTGTCCTACATGGCATCCTACGTTTTCTGCATACGTAGATTTGGCCAAATTGCATCCCAGAATCTACTCGATGAGGTGACCTTAACGTTCTCGCATGCGCAGATGACTTTTAGTGACGTCATTACGTTCTACGTCCTACTGTCGTCGTGCAATCGAAAGCTCTCTGGAATTGCCAAATCAACAAATTTCCATCTTTATTCAGTATTAATAACAGAATTGTTCACAATAATCTGAAATAAAGTAGGTCCAGATTTAGTACCTTGTGGAACACCACATGAAATTGGTTTCCATTCAGAGAGCATCCTTTAAGAGTTATCCTTTGGCCCCTATTTGTGAGGAAATCACACACCCATGGAATGGTCTCTATTCTTATTTGTACAATGATAGTATGGTCGATGAGGTCAAAAGCTTTACTATAGTCTGTAGTTTCATTTCTGGCTTTCGTACCTGGTCTACATAAGTGAAAGCACAAATGATGATTTAAGTCAACTAAATAGTAAGTTGTCGATATTTGTTTTCTATTTCCGAACTTCTGCTTATCTAATACTGTACGCCTTTACAATTCTGGTCAAAACGGCAATAAACCAAAATGGCAATGACCAAAACGGCAATAACAAAAACAGCAATGAACCAAGATGGCCATGATAAGTACCAAAACGGCAACAGACCAAAAGGGTAAAGGAGCGAAATCAAGGGCAAAAAAAAAAAAAAAAAAAAAAAAAAGTTAAGTTAAAGAATTTAAGTTAAAGTCAAATAGGGGCGGGTGGAAAAAGTTTTTTTTTTTAAATACTCATCAGATTGAATAAAAATAACTCACAGAGGCCTAGAATGGCAATATCTTACATCAGACAACAACTTTAGATTAATTTGTAGGGCATCTAGCAAAAAATAAAGATAAATTCACTCACATTTTTTTTTATTTGTAAAGAAAAAAGCTAAAAAAACCCTTTTTTAAAAGTTTTTTTTTTGTGTTTCTGCCACTATTTTTTCAGGGAGTTAGGAGCAGGTGGAGGAGGGCAAACAAACATTTTTTGGCCTAATGCCAAGAATAACAAGTGCCATTAGGTGCAGATCGCAGTTTATAATTTTCTGAATTGTTTAAAAAATTGTCCCAATAGGCAAATCAAATATTGCCATGGGCTCTTTTTCTAGCTTTGAATGTTTTAATGTTTAATAAGGTTTTTTTTTTTTACACATCTTCTATGACGAATTATTTAGATGCTTCATTCTGTCTATATTTTAAAGTGTTATTTAATATTATTGTTTTATTATTATTATTATTATTATTAAAATATTATTATTTTGCATTTTTTACTTTTATGACATAAATAGCCTCATTTTGTCAGTATTTGAGTTTCATTTATTTAAATATTTACTGCTTTTATATTTTGTTTCCCCCAATCTTTTCATTATTTGTATGTTATTAATATTTTTATCATTATTAGTATTATTATTATTATTATTATTATTATTTAATTGTTATTATTATTATTATTATTATTATTGTTTGTTGCTGTAGTTCTTTACTTCTATGAAAATTTAGCCTCATTTTTACCGTATTTAATCGTTGTACACTTTCATGTTTTTAATTGGTTTATTATTTCGCGTTTTTGACTTAGCCTCATTTTGCCTGTATTTTAAAGTTTTACTTCTATGATAATTTAGCCTCATGTTTTACCATATTAATTATGTACACTTTGTTTATAATTGGTTTTATGTAGGGCCACATTGAAAATACGTTTTAATTCTTAAAGCAAACTTTCATAGACCATTTTTGTTTATTGCCGTTTAGACTTAGGCCTATTGCCGTTTTGGTCTTGCCATTTTGACTTATTGTCCTTGGTCCATTGCCCTTCTGGTCAAAAAGTGTTGCCGTTTTGGTTTTTTGCCGTTTTGGTCATTGCCATTTTGGTTTATTGCCGTTTTGACCAGAAAGCATCCAAAAATTAACAAAATGCTCAAGTACTCCAGCAAATAAGGGCGTTAGCGATATTGGTCTAACTTGGTCTAATGTGATGTCTTATTTTGCTATTTGCAATTAAAGGTACATCGTTTTCGGTAGCGCCCCCTACCACACATACAGATAATGTTAGGATGCTATCTATTACTGACCATAAAAATTATAGACGGATGTATTCCGAATGATTTAAGCCTACGAAAAAAATAACTTCTTTTTTGTGCCTTTTTGACAATTGTTTGCACATTAAATTGCCACTTCACATAGTTACCAATTGACGGTCCCGCATTTCAAAGTGATTTTGGATGATACGCGCATTTTGCAGAAACACATGCGAGATCATAAATTTATCACGCATTTAGCACAAAGTCAATGCCTGATAAAGAATTAACACAAATTCAGGGAAAAATGAATTTAATATTAAAAGAAATTTTATTTATTTATTTTATTTTATTTTATTAAAAACATAAACGGTCATGCAGTGACTGAAACTGCAGTTGTCAGCATCAAACACACATGCAGTACAGTATTAACGTTATAAGGGCCTACCTAATTCACCGACGTGTTACTAAAAATTGATCAGTATGCCTATTTATTTTTAGTTTGACTAAGGAAATGTTTGCATTTAAATAGTTTGGGTACTGAAATTTAACATACATTGAATCTCAAATTGTACAGGGCTTTATTAAAAATAGTTTTGTTTATGTACCCGGTATTGTCAACAAAACGCTGGCTATCCTGGCTAGGTAGCCGGAGCATCCCCTCTTTCCCCTTCCCCCTCCCCTTAGAACAGTGCATTCAAAACATTTAATTATAACAGAAATTAAAGAAATGGGTCGGTAATCGTTAAGAGTTGCTACTGGGGAAAGTTTCGGTAATGGTGTTATTACAAGTCTTTAAATTATAAGTCTTTAAAAAAATGCGGAATAACCTGGGATATGTGGGAAAAATTAAATATATATGTGAAGATGTGCGAGATCTTCACTGTTTATGGACTAATACCATTTGGATTTTGTTGACTTACATCTTTGGAATTCCCTACACGTTTCCACTTCAGGAATAATATTAATAATAATAATAATAATAATAATAACAATAATAATAATAATAATAATCTTTATTTATTCATGAGACTCTTTCACCCACTGGGTGTTCTTACAAAAGGCAGTGAGGTACATAAATACAATTGTATAAAACTTATTAAACTAAATTAAAAATAAAAATGCACATTGACAAAATCAATTGTATAATAACAATACCATAAACAATCAAGTACAAAAAAAAAAAAAAATGTCTAACAAACTTAAAACAAACTTGATTTAAATCAAAATAAGTAATATTGCAACTAAATGCCAGGAGATCTCGCACCATTCCATTCCATTACTTTGCAAATACTTTTAATTGTGTTTTAATTTGACAATTTAAAGTTCATAAAATTCATAAAAAATACTTTACTCTTAGGCCTACCACCACAAACCTCCCGAAAAAAGAAGTTATAAAAATCAACACCTTTTTTCTAATTGGTGTTTAAACAGCAGCGCTTACTTTTAAGAGTGGACATACTCTTTCTTTAAATTATATACTATGATTTCCCAGCTGCAACCTACAAGTTAATTTCTAACTTAAACTTATCTCCACTAATCTCGGGGTTAGGTCTGCAAGTATATCGTATAGGCCTGGTCACTATAGCCAGCGGTATGAAACTCAAACCTGCAAACAAGGGGTGGCACCAGCATATATGGGAAAAACCCCAGACACAGCAAGCAGAATAATGCAATGAATAATATAAATTGAAACGCAACAGAAGAGGAATCTGAAAAAGAAAGAAAAGAAAAACAGCCTCCATCAGTGTGGAATAAACATATATTCTCCAGGTGGGCATAAGAAACAATATGTACAAAACTGTACTGTTTTTTTAATATAATAAAAAACTCACATTACAATATTCCGGCGTGTCACGCTCCGATACTGAAATATACTTCTCTGTTGATGTATTCTCACTTGAAGTAATGCCAGCAACAGATGAACTAACATTTCTACCAGTAGATGTTTCTAAAAGAACGTAAGCTTCTATAATTAATGATGTAATGTTTTTGAGAGGTGGCAGTAACTAACACATTTATGGTAATTACCTTTAGAGGTTGAAGACTCGAGCGTGGTTTTAGAAGCCGTTGTGGTTGTCGATATCGGGTCTGGATGAACACAAAAGAAAGAAAAGATGATCGTGGTTAGCTTACGTTCAAATGTAGAAATACAGCTAGAGCTGTAAAGTCACAAGTAGATGGGCGATGATTGAGCAGAAAAACTGCCACCTAACAGTTGGCTTAGATTATACTGCGTCCTCTCTCGGTTTCGAATCAATTCGCGTTTCCCCAGCTGCTTGGCGGCTCACCAGTTTTCAAAACTAAAATTACCCAACTCCTGCCTTCTGTGACCTTCGACCTCTTCTTCAAACTGCACGGCGGCAGAACATGTGAGAAAATTTTTGGTGAATAAAAATTTAGATTATTTGATTCATAGTGGTAAATATAGGTTAGTTATGTTTTCAGATAAGGAAGATAGGTCCCGCTCCACAGCGGAGTTGGGCAAATGTGGAAAGAAAGTGATTAGAGAACGTGCTGTCGATCGAGAAGATGAGATTGGACAGCGTTCTTGCTGTCTCTTATACACATCTAGATGTGTATAAGAGACAGACAACATATTCCACATAAGGCGTAACATTTTATGAGCATAGGATTTTTTTTAGTGTCGTTTACATGGGGTTTATGGGGGAAAAGGTAAGTTTTTGGCCCCTAAATTGCAATTTTGGGGCACATGACTTTGATCTAGGTAAACAAGTCAAACAATTTTGCTATGATTTTTCGGAAGCCCAAAACATTTTACCCAACAATCAAAACTAACATTTGCAGAAAGTTACAGTACAGTAAACATTTATTATGCGTTTTTCAGAAACCTATTAAAATCCCTTAAGGGGCCCCAGCGACCTAGAATAGACCATTGGGACTTCAAATTTTTAAGAGAGGACAAAACTTGATCAAGGCTTTGACTGTCTGTACAGCTTCTCCATCTGCTTGTGGATAGCGAGGATTTGATATTCTGTGTTCAAAAGCTTAGTCGTTTGTGAATGCATTGAATGCGTCTGAATCATATTGAGGACCATCAGATATCAAAGTGTCAGGAATACCATGCCTCACAAATATTGCCTTCATCTTTTCAACTATTACATCACTCGTCGTCGTGGTTAAGAATTCTACTTCGACGAACTGCGAGTAGTAGTCGACAATAAACAAGTGTTCCCTTTCAAGTAAAACAAGTCAGTCGCCACGACTTTCAATGTTGCGGTAGCATCGCGTATTTGCTGTAAGCGTTTGTCGGATGCTGGTAGGTTTCCTACGACACAGTTAATGTATGCTTCAACTTGAGTTTCCAGTGCATCCTTCGCATTTTTTCGGTAGACTCCAAAGGGGCTCACGATAGTGTTCACTGCGTGCATGTACTTCCCAGGCACGTAGATTGGGTCATAATCATATCTCATTAGGCGTATTCGGAAACGTTCGTGGGGGCAACTCACTAATCGCTTTACTACCTAACAAGGCAATAAGTGGCTTGTGGTCTGTCTCTATCATGAACTTCACACCAAAAGGTTAATGCTGAATTTTCGCATACCCATGTGGACGCGAGTGCCTCCTTCTATACCTGAGCATACCTTTGTTTGGTTGGAGACATTGACCTTGATGCGTATGCTATCGGCCCTCCTTCGCCATCATCCTGCTCATCCAACGCACGCCGCCGGCATCACTGGGTGGTTTCAATTGTTCTATCGCATTAATCTTATCTGGATCGGGTTTTATCCCCTTGGAATTGATGACATTCCCAACAAATTTAACCTATCGCTTCTTAAACTGGCATTTCTTCGAAGTCAGCTTTACAGCGGCTTTTCTCATGTATTCAAGTACAGCTTTGAGTCTACGGTCGTGTTCAGCTTGATCATTACCGTAGTTAAGAACATCACCAACTATGCACGCTACGCCGTCCAGTTCTTTCGATTATCTTGAACATTTTGTTTTGAAAGTGTTCGCTTGTTGAGTTAAGACCGTATGGTAACCGTGTAAAGTAGTAACGACCAAATGGCGTTATGAACGTCGTGAGTTTAGCCGATTCCTTGAAAACGGAATTTGTCAGAAACTGCCATTCGTGTCCAGCTTAGAGAATACCTTAGCTCCTGAAATACCTGCAAGTGTATGGTCAGCAACGGGCATAGGGTAAACTTCAAGTTTCACACTCGCGTTCAATTTTGTGAGGTCAACACAGATCCTCACGTCTTAGCCGTTCTTCTTTGGAACTACCACAATTTTTGTGCACCGCTCTATTGGCTTTTCTCTCCGAATTATACCGAGTGCTTCCATTTACTCCAGCTCGCTTTTTACTTTTGAGAGCAAGGGTATCGGGATTCTGCGTGGAGTGTTTAACATGTAAAGGTTTGGCGTCTGGTTTCAATTCGATAGAGTAATTGCCTTTGAGCTTATCTAAACCTGTCGTACTCCTTTCTGACATCGGTACCGTCGTTAATAATTTCATCGACTTCGTGTCAGGTTATGAGCCCCAATTTCTCAATGATCGGCCTGCTTAGCAGTAGCGGCTCTAGGATTAATTTATGGACTTCCAGGCGAGCTAAGTATTTATGGGTGTAACTATAGCGTGCAGCATTACCTGAGGGCCGAAGGCCGGAGCCGGGAGTGGGTATGGTGGGAGGGGGTAGGCGCTCCTCCCAAAAACAAGATTTTTTTTTTTAAATTGGGACTTCTAAATGGCCGGAAATGGCTGGGATGGGAAAATTAGGCCTATCTTTTTTTTTGGTCCGACTGCCCCACGAGCATTGGCAGATGGGGGATTGACCAGACCGATGGGGGAGCCTTAAGCCTCCTGCACCGCCCCCGCTGACGCCGTCACTGCTGCTTAGTAGCGCTTGTCGTAAGTTTTCAACCACGTAACTGTTTCGCTTCGCGATCATTTTAGTTCCATTGCACACAACCTCAAATTTGGCCATGAACATGCCTATTACTTTGAGCTCATCATGTCCAGGTCCATGCAATGTTACGTTTGGCTTTTTAAGCTTCTTGATACACTTAGCTGCTAGTTCCTTAGGAACTACAGTACAGCGACATCAGCACTCGAGTCTAACTTGAATTCTTTGGAAAAGTTAATCTTTACAGTACTAGTCCATGGTTTTACGGCATCTATGTGGATCTCATCGAGATAAAATGATTCACTTACATTTTGTGGTGCTGCTGCGAACAAACACGAAGTGACCCTTCTTGCTGCATTTTTGGCACTTTGTGTCTTTCGTTGGACACTTATCTCGCGCATGTGCATTTCTGCTGCACCGGGCACATTGTGACTTTGCTTTGTCATTATGTTTTCGCATTGGCCTAGCGCTTTTGCTCAACTTGCTTATCCAGAGGTGACGGAACTAGGGGGTGCTGTGTTATGGAGAGTATGTGTGACCGGAAATGGTCTGCAGTCAGTTGGTTGTTACCATGCGCCAGTGATGTTGGAGTATAGTACAGCAATATGAAACTATTATGTAGGCCTAATGAATGAATAAAGTTTGGAGTGTCGTGAAATGATTATTTCACATTTTAAGTGCTCCCTAAATTCATAAGTGTAAGCTAAATTACGGTGATTAATTTAATTAGCGAAGATATGGAGACAATTATTTCGAATCCCTCTTTCCAAGAGGGGATGCAAATGATGCTTTGTGAAAATGAGTACGCCGCGGTACTCATTTTCACAAAGAAATACACACAACTGGTTAGCTAACAATTATATCAATGTTACATGAACACCTGGGAAGGAAGGTGCAATCACGTTGTTACCTAGCAAACGTCTGTACTGTATGGGGGAGGGGCTCCTGATGTACTGTGTAGCGGGGGACGATGAGGCATAAGACTAGGCCTAGGCCTAACTAAGACAGTGGAATTATATGTGATAGAAAGTACACTTTCGGAAGAAATAAATTAAAATAAGAAAAAAAAAAAACTAAGGATAATTAAGTTACAGATGTAACTTGTTTAAGTATTATACCTGTCTCTTATACACATCTAGATGTGTATAAGAGACAGACTTAAGATTGTTCATTTAAGGTAATTATAATTTAAGGTCATTAAATGAATAACCTGAGCAGATTGTTCATTTATGGTCATTGATTTAAGGTCATTCAAGGTCATTTCAGGTCAAATATTTTATGGCATCTTAATAATTACCTTTCACGTTTTACATCTGAATCATACCAGGGAGTTGTTATAGTATAACTCCCTGATCGAAATTAATTTTTTTTACAAGAAACTACATTACTTCATTCAAGGTCATTTTGGCAGCCATCTTTAATTTCAAAATGGCTGCCATGCAAAAACTATTTTATTAATATCTTAGCTTTAAATCACTTTAAATTATAATTTTTATGTTTAAAACTATGTTTTTATGGTCAAGAAAATATACCATTTGTGACACAGTCAGATGGTCATTAGGATAATATGTATGTCAGTTAAGGTCATTTAAGGTGATTTTGTGTTAAATACCATATCAAAGTTCGTTGTGATGTCCATTTTAGGTCAAGGTGATTTTGCAGCCAAATTATAGATGGCCATAAAACATATATGTTTACTTTACATAATCAAATATTGACTTTACCAGTTGTGACAATGTCAGATGATTATTATAGTCATAAATAGGTTAATGTCATTCATTTCAGCTCAAATATTGTATGACATGTTAATAATCAACCTTTTCGAGTTTTAATAAAACAACTGACCAATCAGAATAGGAACTAGGCCTACAGTACAGCGACATCAGCACTCGAGTCTAATCTTAAATCTAACTTGAATTCTTTGGAAAAGTTAATCTTTACAGTACTAGTCCATGGTTTACTAGTAGTTACCGCATCTATGTGGATCTCATCGAGATAAAATGATTCACTTACATTTTGTGGTGCTGCTGCGAACAAACACATCCATACGAAGTGACCCTTCTTGCTGCATTTTTGGCACTTTGCGTCTTTCGTTGGACACTTATCTCGCGCATGTGCATTTCTGCTGCACCGGGCACATTGTGACTTTGCTTTGTCATTATGTTTTCGCATTGGCCTAGCGCTTTTGCTCAACTTGCTTATCTAGGCTTACTATGCGCTGGTTTGTAAACCGCGTCCACCAATTGGCGAGCTTCTTGCAAATTATACCACAATATTTCCTCCATGGTTAGGGTAGGTTGGAGTACTAAAGTTCATTAGCGCCTCAATTTAGGCTAATGTATAAAAATTTCGTAACCAACTCAGTCAATTCAATCACTGGTTTCATTTTTACATTGATTCAAATTCAAGACCCATACAAGGAAAGGGCTGAAAACTTGGTCCTATTGCGATGATGTAGTCTATAGGGCAGCTGATATCAGGCGGGATATCAGGCTGACCATGGGCTGACACAGACTTGAAAGTAGCGCATGTGCAAAATATGGTCTATGAGGAGCGTTGTTTTAGAGAAATAAAGTCTATTGTCTTTTGTCTATTGTCTATGAAATTTTACCAATCTTACCTATGAAAAAAAATGCGGCCGGCATCACATTGGTGGCGCTGTTCCAATAAAATGGGCAGAGCCATAGATAGAAAGAGTTGCGACATTGAGAGTTTAGAAGCCATTCCGTGTCCAACGCGATTCGTGCGTGTTGTCCAACGCAATCCGCGTTCTAATTATAATTTCTATGTAATTACATGTAATTCGCATTTAATTATCAAGCGCGCGTTTTTTCTAAATAAATTCTAAAGATAAATTCTAATCACGCTTTTGATATTAAATAGTTATTAATTAAGTAATAACATTATAAACGCGAATAAACATGTGAAAATACTATGTAATATACCTAACTCATATACTTTGTATGTGTTCATCGGGAAGATTTGGACACAAAAATGGACGGTGTGTACCACGTGACTTTTGCAAACCGAGGAGTGGAATGTTGCAACTCTTTATATATATGGCTCTGAAAATGGATAAAGACTAAAAAATCTAGCAGCCACGAGGCGAACATTATATTTAAATATCCTGAATAATCAATTACAAGATCCAGGAAGCGTGACGGCGGTATCATGAGTCGTGTCTACCGAATCACAGCGAGCGTTGGAACGAGTGGAATTGCATGCAGTCAAGCTTACGAAGTTTTCAGCTTGGGCAAGACCTCGATATGTCAGCGTGTTATAGGGCCTCGGTTATGAAGTGTAATTATAGTCAATAAATGTTTGCTGGAGTCTTTTATATCTCTCATAAATTTGAATTACATTTTTTATTATTCAATGTATGACGAAGCAACGTCTTGTACTGTATTTGTTGCTAACAAGAACAAAAGGGTCTGTACAGTGTATTCTTATTCAATTCAATTCAATATAATTTATTGTCAAAGGTAGTAAAAAACATTTAATATAAAAATAATGCTAAAAATAAAAGACCGACGTTTCGACTCCTTCATGGTGTCATTTTCAAGATCAATGATGAAGTATAGAATATACAGCAACTATAATCAATAGCAAAAAGATATTTGCTATTGATTATAGTTGCTGTATATTTTATACTTCATCATTTGATCTTGAAAATGACACCATGAAGGAGTCGAAACGTCGATCTTTTCTTTTTAGCATAGTAAAAAACGCTAAAAAGAAATTTAGATTGAATGTACACATAAAATTGCCTAAAACGGTCACACATTAAAACGTTATTAGAGTTTCAAAAGGGGAAAAATTGAGATAAGACACGAGATTAGAAAATATAAAAAGCAGTTAAAACGGATTAAAATGTGGAGATTGATTGTACAGCATCATACCTAATTCTATTTATACAATTGCATTTTTACCTTTTCCACAATAAATTAAATTGCCTCATGGCTGACGGGAGGGAAGATTTTCTAATTCGTTCAGTATTCCATCGTGGATGCAGAATACGACCAGCTCGAACTACTTATGAAGGGGGTTGACTACTATCTGACATAATTAATTCAAATTTCTTCATCATTGCACTTCTTACAACTTCATCAGGTTTCTTAATTTCAGTTCCTATTACTTTCTGAGCAGATTTACTGATCTTAAGAATTTTCTTCATGTGCACTTTATTTAGACTGTTATACCATTCTATTGCACTAAATGTTAAGACAGATAACATTACATATTCATAAATAGTGCCATGATCTTGTTGCATACATGGAATTTCTTCATTCTTCTTAAAAATTAAAGCCTCTTGTAACATTTACTGGTGACTTGCTTAGTGTTCTCCTTTCCATTAAGTTTATCATCTATAACCGTGCCTAGGTACTTATGATGCCTAACCACTTCAACTTTATCCTCCATAATTGTCAGCTCATCATGCTATTTACCTTTCTAAGGTCGATTATAATTTCCTTAGTCTTTTTAACATTCAAAACCTAATGTACAGTATTGTTGCTTTAAATTTTTGTTATCTATATAAGTATATTTGTATATTATGTATGTATGTGCGTATGTATGTATATGCTGTCTCTTATACACATCTAGATGTGTATAAGAGACAGGGAGTGGAATGTTGCAACTCTTTATATATATGGCTCTGAAAATGTCAACATGATCAAGAACATTATGTATTAAAGTAGTCACCGCATCTTCTACTCCTCTTTTAGGGCGGTGTGCAAATTGACAGGGATCTAATTTACTTTCAGCCTCAGTTAAAATTTCGTTCTTAACCAGTTTCTCAAGACATTCCATTGGTATGGCAGTGAGAGCAATGGGCCTATAACCGTTCAAATTGTTCGGTCTGTTAAATTTCGGCAAAGGATGAATTACATATTTTTTCCAGATTCTGGGCACTTCATGTGCCCAGAATCGGATAGCTGCTCATTGCATTCCTTTAAAACTTTTCCACTTACACCATCGGGACCTGTTGCTTTTTTAGTGACAATTTTATATGAGCGTGGACAGACACGTCCCCGATGTAGCAGCGCCATCTTCTGCCTAAGTGTATTATGACATTGACAATGACATTGAATGTTAAAAATACTCCTGAAAGTTGTAGTGACACCTTGTTTTAGTTTAGACTAAGCATGAAATCAAGAGTCAGACTATTTTCAGAATAAATTATCGTTTTTATTTTATAGTTTATATAAGACGAAACCTTTCAATTATGGTCCATTCACTAGATAACTAAATTATTATTATTATAAAGATTATTTGTATGGGAATTTGTAGAACAGAATATGTTCGGTAAAACAGCAGTAGACCTATTATAGTAATATATCTGTCCGCCCTTGTAGAAACCGACAGTGGTAGTGCCAGCAGGTGAGGGGTTCCCCCACCAGTCGGACAGGCCTGGGCCTCCTGTCGTCCGACGAACGTCTAGTCCTCAGACCAAAAATTAAAAAAAAATAATAATTTGCCTATCTAAATGATAGCCAATCACTAATATTGTGGTCTAAATGCACATTTAGGACCAAATTAAGCCATAAGAACTCTCCCTATGAACTCCAACAGGGATTTTTTTATTCCGGGAAGACGACCGAGGCTACGTCGTCACCTTGTCGGCAAATTTCTGGCCCCACCACTGGAAACAGATGCTAACATAAGGTGTTTCTTTTTATTTTAGGAAAACCAGACTTTTGCGAATGCCGGCCGAGTCTGTTATGCAGACATTTGTATATTAGACCAGACACTATAATTGTAAAGTTATAAATATGAAGCAAAGAAACATGGAAATCGATATCACAGTATACTCACATCATCATCATTTTACTTTAATAATCAGCTTTAATATACGAATATTACCCCAAAAGTTAAATAATACTTATTATTATTAATAGTTATTAATAATGTTGATTAATAAATAACATTTAGCCTATTAATTATGCCTATTATTGACAAGGTATTGGTATTAATTACAGCTAATTTAACACAAACATTGTAATATTTTAATATTAAGACAAATAGGCTTATAACTATGCCTATTCCCATGACAGTATCAATTTTTCTCAAATTGTATTCAATTCAATACATTTCAAATTCTATAATGGTTTTAAAACAAGATAATGAAATAAATCTGCTCCAAAATATATTTGTCACATCAAAAGTCCTTGGTCGCATTATTTAAAAGTTGTTTTTAGCTATTATTTTGTCATACGACAGTTAGTGCTACCCTAACGCCTTTGCAATAATTGCTTCTATTCTAGTCCTAAATAACCCTCCTACTGTAAAACCATTCGGTCCGATCATAGTCATATGCATCCCACCTTTCTCATAAGGATCCCTCCTCACCCCAAGAACTGTACCCCATGCCTACACTGGCTGTACAAAACAAAAACAGTGATGTAATAAAACTGAAACTACAATAAATCTGCTCCAAAATTTATTTGTCACATTTTTATTTAAAAGTTCTTTTCAGCTATTGACTATCTGTTTATAGGCCTAATTTTTATTTTGTACACGAAACACTTTCCAAATTCTAGAGATACCTTGGTGTGAGGCCAATCGCAGAAACCTGTGTTGGGTCGATCCGGTGTACAATACGAGTCATACATAATTTGCTGATGACGAAATAATTATTCTGATGAATATTTAAACAATGTTCCTCGTGGCTGCTAGATTTAGTCTTTAGTGATAAGATGGTGTATACAAGAGAGGGCAATACAAGTAATTGTTTTAACATTTTGTAATAGCCTAATATGTAAACTGTTAACTAACATTTAACCATGTAAGCGTAGATGTAATATAGTTATACAAGCACTGTATACAATAATGGGTTAATGTTGTTACGAAATATTGTAAACTTTTTTTACAAACATTTTAAAATGGCAGCGGCAAAATTGCATTTACTTACGTACTGAAACTCCGCACTCAACGTATGCGACTGTGCAAGCTTTGTGAGGATTATTGTAGCACGATGTGAAGTTCTTCATTCCAGAGGTATAACACGTCCTAAATGAATCCGACCAATCGTAACAGCGTAACCATTTCAGCCACATCACCTTATATAATTTCAAATCTAAGTTTATACTTGAGTGATTTGAATACGGATGACCAAGCTCTTTGCAAACCATTTCTCCACCGAATTCGTTCCAATTATTCCAATTATCTGCAGTTCCAACTACGCCCCAGATTCCTTTGTATTCTATCTCAACAATGCCTGAGATGTTATTTACTGAACCATTTTGGTTCAGACGAAAACCACCTTAGAAGAATAACATTACCATTAAGTGTTGAACGATTGAAATTAGCTTATCTAATAAGAAATGTAAAGTATATGTTAAAATAAATTTGTTGTTTGTTTGTTTGTTTGTTTATTTGTTTGTTTGTTTGTTTGTTTTTTTGTCAACAATATAGGACTACACAATACCGTCGACAGGATTTTTTAAATAACACAATCCAAAAGCGAACCCATTTTACGCGTGTTACTACTGACTGCCGTGGACCCAATTTTAACGATTTACACGACTGAAAAAGCTATCAACGACAGCATAGAATAAACAGGTTATAATATTAAACATGAGCCAATTAGTATTTTTTGAAAGGATGCTTTGTAGATGCCCGGAAATGCAGATTTTTACACTGCAAAGAGGTCTAAATGACAATGGTAATGATAATTATACTATTAAATAGGCGGCATATTTTGAACGAAGGTGATATAATGCAAGTTAATTGAGTCTGCGGCTTCTAGGGCTCTATTAATGGTGCTAGCAGGGTGAAGGAAAAATGAAGTTTTTCCCATTGGTTATGGTAGCATAATTTTAGTGTTCTTTATGTAATCAACCTTTAGAGCTGAAGTCTCAATACGTGTAATGTTTTAAAAGATTTATTTAAATGATATTTTATTCCTTACAATACCTCCTAAATTGAAACGTGAAATTATATATGTAGCAATCGACGATTGGGATTGAAGAGCGATGACTAAATCTACCAGTGGCGGTCCAGGGTCGAAATCCTCTTGATAAAAAAATTAGTTCTAAAACCAATTGCCATCAAAACTTAAATCCAATGAAAGACTTATTTTACATTAGACGTAAAACACATGACAGGTTTTATTTTATTACAGGAACAGTATTCAGTTTTTTTGCATATGATAAATGGATCCACCTTTTTAAATATTAAAATGTTTGTGTTGTTATGCTAAATCTTTCATATATTAGACAGAACTAGATACAATGTTTATTTATTTTTCTATAATAAAGGTATTGGGTATAATTCCAAATGTTTCAAAACTGCCAGTACTTTTTTTTAAATTAATAGTCACCAATGTCAACCGTTACATAAAATACAACAATAATATTGACCAAATCTGACAAACATAATAAAGACATCATTATGAGGATGACGAAGATGATGATAACAATGATAATGACGTATACAATGATGCTAAGTTTTGTTAAAGGCGCTTAGACGAACAACATGCCATACAGTATTGTACCCACATTATATAGTCTGCACTTCTCGAAGGTTGTTTAACGATTATGGCAATGACGATGACAATGATCACGACGACGACAAAGACAACGATGATGATTAACTTTTAGTTACGATCGAAATCAACTTACTAAGATGTTTCAAGTAAGGACATAACTATTAAAGCAGGTCTAACTGAACTTACCTATGGGTTCGTTTGAACAAACAACGGTGGCAATAGTGCCCGCACTGCAGTTTTCAAATGTTAATTTGGTATGACTACATTCAAGCAATCGGTAATTATGTCTGTTACACCTCATGTTGGTCAACAGCATTGGTCCACGTCCTTCGCCGAATCTATCATGATAAGCATCCAAGTACAAGTATCTAAATTGGCGACATACAACCCAACCGTCCGGGAACCCCCAGTTATCTTTACATATTGTTCCCCACGTTCCATTAATAAGAACTTCGACACGTCCTTCGTGAGGCCCATTGCCACCTTCCAATCGTAGATCTGGATAGAGTATAAAACAGGTCAAATGTGTTTATTCACCTGGAAAAAATGTCATACACCTAAATATTGATCTGGAATACATCTCACAAATTCAATTTAATGAAACCAGGAGAATTCAAGTCATTTATATCTTTTATGCTAAATTGCAACCGAATGAAAACAACATACCAGTATGATATATTGCAAAAACATATAAATATAGTCAACATAGCCTAAATATTTAAATTGACTGGAGGAATAAAACTGCGGTTAACATGTCTAATACGTATATTCTTTAAGCAAATAGCTTTAGGTACTGCTACCTGAAAATCCGAGATGATCTGTGTAACTTACATTATTTATTCTTATTCAACTTTCAGCTATAACAAACAAAAATGCAACCCCAATCTTCCCCCGCCCCAACATCCAAAAAAAAAATCATGATTAGTCCTATTAATTCGTTTGCGAAGGGCTAGTTCGGTATCACATATACCTCAGTTTGTAATTATTTGTTCATGAATTTGACAGTTTATGTTTATGTTTTAATATGTAAGCCTATTTTTAGATTAAAGTCATACTGTTTGTTTTAATGGAAAGCCGACATAATTTATGGATTAAATTAACCAAAAATCATTATAAGCCTACCAATATAATTATTATTTATTACCTGTCGTAGGATTACTGCATACAACTCCCGCAATATGCTGACACGTGATTGATACGTTTGGAGGCGTTATATTGCAATGCTGAAGAAAATTATCGCTTCCTTCACACTCTAATTTAGCAATTTCTGATATATATATTTCTGGCATATCAGACTGCGTAATATCCCCGGTAATATCTTCTACATATTCCTGCTCAGCCGCAAAAAATCCGAGATCTCTACAGACGGCCACAGCTTCAAGATAAGTCCAGGCGTCCCCACATATATAACTCCAATTACCATCATACTGCACTTCAACCAAACCAGTAGCATTTGATTCAACCAAACGTACTATTAATAAAATCAATATTATATTTCATTCACTTAAATTATTTTTTTCAAAACTGGAGCCCTGAGAAGAGCTTTCCAGAATATTGTCTATTGTATCAATTCAGTGAAATCATTTGAATATAACATTATTATTTCATTTATTATCAAGTTAATGTTATCGTTATTTATCGTAAAAGTTGAAAGTAATGAAATAATAATACATTTAAAAAGGATATTTTACTTACGTTCACCTATGATATCTTCAGTAAACATTGAATTACCACCACCTAATACCAATGTGAAATTAATTATAAATGGTTGTATTAAATAACAGCTATGTTAAACACAAAATTACAGTGAAATGCATGAACAATCGCCTTCGAAATGTAGACAAACTGAAATCTTATTATTATTTTTTTTTTGTGGTTATTATTTTGTTGTTGTTATTTTTTTGTTGTTGTTTTCTGTTGTTGTTTTGTTGTTGTTTTTTTGTTTTTTTGTTGTTCTTTTTTGTTATTGTTTTTGTTGTTGTTTTGTTATTGTTTTGTTGTTGTTTTTGTTGCTGTTGTTTTTTTTTTGTTTTGTTGTTGTTTTTGTTATTGTCGTTGTTGTAGTAGTATCCATTTACTCACCTATGCCACAGAATTCAAAGTTTCCAGTACTTCCCCAACCTGTGCTATAACCCACGTAGTTGATATCAAGTGGGTTAGGATCCTTATACGTCATAAAAGCGCGGTCTCCGATATATCCCACCGCAATTTCACCATTAACGAACCGGATCCAGAATTGGTTATACCTATTTTGGTTCAGAAAGCCGAGACTTTTTTCATACAAAGTACGGTTTTCACATTGTTGGCATCGTCTAATGACCGACTTCTTGTTGTTCCATCCTCCTATGACGATTTCGTACATTGGGGTGAGATTTTCATTTTCTGCCGACAGTGCGATGTGTACGTCATTTGATGCTTTGACGGAGAACTCAAAACGAGTGGCACATTTAGGTAAACGTGGTAGATTATATCGATACCTATACTCCTTATTTGTTTGATAAAGTTTGCAATCTGGGGGAGAAAATTATTGAAATACTAATATAAGCATTGTATTTGTCGAAAAAGTGCAATACCGTATGTAAAGATCACATGCCTGTAATTCTTATATTCAAGTATTTATTATTTCGGTTATAGTTATTATGGTATGAAATTATGATTACCACCGCATCCGATTTTGTTTGTGTGGTTGTCTGTCAGTTTGTTAGCAGCCTCCTTCCTACAGTTTAGATTAATTATTACATTTTCTTTCTTACTTTCTTTTTTCTTAGTTTTTTTAACTTTTCAAATGGATGGGGGCCTCTAAATCTGTCCCTGTAGATATCTAAATAAAAAAGATAAAGGCACCTGTATGTATACCTTTCTGGAATGGCTCGTTGTGGCCAAAGAAAAAGGTTTGCAATTTTGGTTACATTCCAGAGTATAGGGTGTGTATGTGGGGACACTTAAACTGGGACATGCAAGATTTAAACACCCTATCTATCAATAAATCTGAATGAAACTTTTTAGCATCATGTTAAGTTTATTTTTTTTAAATACACTTACTTTTGTTTTATACTAATGCAAATACAATACGTTTCTTTTAACATCTAATTATAAAATTAAATATGTTATGTTATATATGTTATATATTTTATATATTTTAATTCTATTACCTGACCAGTTACTATTTTATTTGTTATATTTACTTTATACTATATATATATAGAGTATATATATACTTAAAT